GATTTTTCACTTCCATTTAGAGCATTGGTAAGGTTAGCCATAGCTTGTGCAGCATCTTGTAAAGCCTGTTGTGCCATATTGTTAAGTAGATCAGAAAGGTTATTAAGAATAGGTGGAAGTGAAGGAAGAAGTTGAGGTTGAGGTTGAATAACAATAGGTTGGAATTGGACAGTAATAGGTTGAGGTTGAACAGCAATAGGTTGAAGTATGGGAATAGCAAGTTGAGGTGGAGGTGAAGGAGGAGGGCTATTTTCAAAAGTTTGTTAAGGTAAATCAGTAGGAGTGTGATCTAAGCTAGAAGTTTCTGTAAGGTCTACAGAAGCAGTAATATATTCTTCTGTTTCTATTTTATCAGTGAATAGTAGAGAAATTTGTAAAGTCCAATCAGGAGTATAGTGACTTTTGAAAAGTTCAGTGGGTGTAACTAATTCACTATACAGAGCTAAGCTATTTGCTGAGTCATATAAAAAGAGAATATTATTGATAAAAGTAATATCAGTAGTAGGTGGTAGAATGGAACTTTCTAAATTTCCAAGATGTCAACTAAATTCTTCTGATTCTTCGAAACTAAAACTTAGAAAAGTGTTGAAGTGAAGATCAAAAGCATTTTGATATTCAAAAGGTATGATAGAAAGTCAAAAGAGGTTGGTATATCTTCTAACTAGAGTTAAAACAATTGTGCAAGGGTCACCAAGGTCTTGTTGATATCAATAACTAAAAATAATATTTCTAATACAGAGATGAATTGTAATTTAGTTTGGATATGAGGTAGTAAAAACAGTAAAATTGTCCTGAGTTTGGAAGGAATAATGTTAAGCTTCAAAGTTAGTTTGGTACCAAGTTCAAAATCATCCAAAATTTGAGCAAGAGCTAGTATATCGAGGGAAGTAATACTGTAAACAAGATAAATCTGGATGCTGTACTTGAAGTATGTCTACTGCAAGATGAGGTCCAGTTAGATGTGCTTGTTGATGGCTTTGGATATTTTTATTATAGAATTCAGCAGCAGTATGAATTATAAAGAAGTGGTGTTTCTATGTCCAGGACTCTGCTAAGATAACTAATTCTCGTCCGGGTCTCTTAACAAGATAACTAATACTTGTCCGGGTCTCTTGTCAGGATAACTAATACTCATCTAGGTCTCTTGTTAGGATAACTAATACTCATCTGAGTCTCTTGGCAGGATAACTAATACTCATATGGGTTTCTTGTCAGGATAACTTTTCCAATACATCTGGGAATGCTTCATCTGGAATGACTTGTTTTTCTCTAAAAATTTAACCTTTCTGCCAGAAGTCACCAAATGTTATAGGTAAAAGCCTTCTTAATTTTCATACTATAATGACAACATGGTACAGAGAATCCCTTATAAATATATGCAGTGTCTAAGAGAGAAGTATAACTTCTGTTAGATGTTGTCAAGAAACTATACCCTTCTCTGAAACAGTTTGGAGAAAGATAATGCAATACTAATAACTTTATTTTATTTTATTAAGAGGAGATAAACCTTGCCTATAGAAATTATCTTAGAGAAGAAGTATCAATACAGTTTATAATTAAAAGTTGTTTATTAAAGTAATAACAAGAAAGGCTATCCTTAGGTTTCTGTTTCTAAAGAATCCCAAGATGTGTTTATAATATTAAAGGGAAAAGGTGTATCTGTTGCTTGATCATACTTGGGAAATTTAGCAGAGTTTATATATTTGTGAACTAAGTGACTAAGTGGCTAAATGACTAAGCGATTAAGTGACTAAGTGACTAAGTGACTAAATGACTAAGTAATTACTAAGCAACTGAAAGGTTCTAGCGACTAATGACTAATGATTACTAAATGACTAATTACTAAGTGACTAAGCAACTAAGCGATTACTAATTAATCAGAAAGTTCTAGCAACTACTAGTAATATAATAATAATACAATAATAGAATAACTAATACTAAATAATAATAATAAAATAATAATAACTAATAATAATAATAAAATAATAATAAATCATTCTATAACAATATGTTTGCTAATTAAAAATAATAAATTTACTTTTTATAAAACATTTGTTATGTTTTTTTGTATTTATTAAATATTGAACTAATTGAAAAGAACTTTTATATACTGAACTGTTAAATGAGAGTTAATTAAAAAGAAATATTCTGTTATTTGATTTATTTAAACCTTAAATAATTCCAATTTTTTAGATCAATTTCTTAACTTCTTAATATCTTATTCACATAAGCTTTTTAATTTTTCTTTTTTATATAATTTTACAAAATATAAAGTTTGATCAATTATAGTTTATCAACAGCAATTAGAAGAAATGTTTAATAAATACAATATCAAAACTCACCCAAATATGATTAATGAAGTGCAAGAAGCAAGGCTCCTACTTTCAAATCCAAGTAAACTAAAAGTAAGTTTTGATAATAAAGATTTGAAAATAATCCAGAAAAAGCAGACTAACATAATTGAAAATATTCAAGAAAAGCTTAGTGATGCGACTGCTTAACTATTATAAAAGGTTTATTAAAAAAAATAGTTTAAAATTTTTTTTATAAAAAATAAAATTAAATAAACATGTTCAAAAAAATTTTTAATTTACATCCAATAATACAATCAGATCTGATTATGCATGTTGCACTATGATAGTAGATCATTTAGTATCTAACACCCCAATAATTGATGCTCTCGTGATAAAAATTTAGTAGAAATATTCTCCGTCCCTGCCTCGAGACCCAAAACTTTATGTGAGAACATAAAAAATTTCCAAATTTATTATAAAATTAAATTCGAATTTCATACACCTTACTTTATATAATTTTAACTAACGCTAAATATCAAAAACATATTAACGCACTTGGCTTTAACTATCCCCCAATTTTATCATTGGGTAAACTTTGTATCCAGATAATCCGAGTGCATTTATATTTATATATATATATATTGTTTTGACCGATACAAAATATCTTGTAATAGTCAGAATATATTCTATGTTTACATATTTGAAGAAGAGTTGCTGAAACCGACTAATCCAGCTTTTAACACCCTGCAAATTGGTAAAAGGGTATGGTACCTTAATTCAATAATTTTATTCGGTATTAAAACTTCAATTTAGAGGAAATAGTATAATAAGCAGAATATGTAGAATTGAACAAAGTTAGTGAAAGGAAAAAAGCTGTAAAAAAGGTAATTTATGCCAATTAAATAGGTAACTAGTTAATAACCATTAAACATTAATAAAGAATTTATATTTTGCTTTATTATCTAAATGTTTGAGACTTGATGAAATGATCCAACAAATATGATAAATAACAATGTCGAAGGTAACCGACTATCCGTTCAGGCAAACGGGATTTTATTCGTATCTGTTTAATGTGACCGATGGATGATCGGATAAGCCTGTGAAAATGTCGTGTTTGAAGTAAGCATTTTCCTGAATTGCACTAACCTCCGAAATTAGATTTTCTTGCAATTTTAGGAAGGTGCAACTTCGGGCGCTTGAAGTTACAGCTTCAAGCAGATGCTAACTACAAGCATGGCAAGAACACTTTACCGAATTTTATCGTTTTGTTATATATAACAAAATAAATATATACAGTCAAATCTCTCTATAATCACACCCCTCGGGATAAATATTTGTGTGCTTATAAAAAGATTTTTACTAAGTGCTTATAAAGAGATTTTTTTAATATGTTTATATATAATTAGGTTCTAAATAAATGTGCTTATAAAGAGAGGTTTTTATATGATGTGCTTATAACGAGTGTGACTATAGAGGGGTCTAACTGTATATTTTTTATATATTCTAATTTTATCTGAAACGAAACATCAAAATTCGTCCTAGAACTGTGATGTCTTGCTTTAAAACCAAATTCTGTAAATTCAATCAAACAAAACCCCAGCGCACATCCATGGCATGACTCTTTTTTTATATACACATAATAAACATTAGTCATGAGAACGTTAATGATTAAATTTGTCCTCCAATTGTGGCCTGACTTTAGGGGTAAATAACTTCTAAATTCCGTTAATATATTTTTTTTTTTTACTAAAAATTGTTACACGGAGAGGTAACCGAATAAATATACTATAAAAGGTGACATAATGTAATTAGGGTTTCGTTATACGATTTATATTGTACCTTGTGATTTTGTATGATTTAGTACCCACAATATAAATCGTTAAAAAATCTCATGTTAAGGTCTTTTTACTTTTCTAAAGAATTGAATTCATGTTTAAATAACTGAGACCAAATCTCTATCAGTTATTAGTACGAATATATTCAATTTTATTGAAAAATAAATATAATTGCTAAAAAATGTCTGGAAAGAAAATAGATATGACTGACTCGAATGAGCCTTCCGGTAATAGTGCTCATAATGGAATTATTACTTCACAGGTTCAATAAAAAAAAAAATTCACAGATTTCGTGATTTTTAGTAAAAATTTTTTAATGCAATAAACTAATAGATTATTGTGCCATTGCTAAAAATAAAGCTTTCAAATACCCCGCAAATGCAAATACAAGCGTCGTTTGCTGAGACGCTTCCCCTTAAGTATAATACACATAGCTTTTATGCCGGAATGATGGAGTGCTTAGGATCATTTTGTGGATTTATGGGATCGGTAAGAACTCGCAAAGTCATGTATAGTCTTTGTGTAACTTGTGTGTGAAGTGTCTTGTTTTTTTAACACATACGTACATATATAATTAGATTCCATTAATTTGTTGTTGCTTCCCTAACCCTTACAAAAAAGTTGATCAAGGAACTGTTGGACTTATTTCACGTTTTGGTATGTCAACAAAGTTTGCACGATAATATTATTCATTGTTTGTAATAACCCTTTTTTTTTGCTTATTATAGGACAATATTATAAATCCGTTGATCCGGGTTTAGTTAAAGTAAATGTTATAACCGAGGATCTCACAAAGGTTGATGTTAAGGTAATTAACTAGTTTAATAATCCTCATTAAGTATCAATTTAACTTCAATTGAATCTTATATAATCTTATATATTATTTAGATACAAATTACCGAGATTCCAAGACAAGCCATTATGACAAAGGTATATTTATGTTCTATTCCCAATAATGAGTTTGAATATTTATATTTTAATCAATTGATCATGTTGCATCATGTAGGATAATGTATATATACATATTGATTCTATAATTTATTGGCATATAATCAATCCCTATCAAGCAGTTTATGGTATAACTGATGTTCGCAAAGCTCTTATAGAACGGTAGGTATTAAGTTAATTCAGAGAATATGATCTCGGGATACAAAAGAATTTACGAATTTTACTCCGGTATTATAGTACTCAAACCACGCTAAGACACACTCTTGGCGGTCGTGTTCTTCAAGATTGTATTGAAAATCGTGAAGCAATTGCTTATGAAATTAAAGAAATCATTGATGAACCTGCTCACGCTTGGGGTGTCAAGGTATATGTCTTTTATTTCATTTCATATAATTCCAATTTATCTAATTGATATATTTCTTTAATTCAAGGTTGAAAGCATTTTGATTCGTGACATTTTATTCTCTCCTGAATTACAAGCTTCTCTTTCATCTGCTGCTCAACAAAAGAGAATTGGTGAAAGTAAAGTTATTTTGGCCCAAGCTGAAGGTAAAGTATCTTTGTCGTATCAAAATTATCGATAAAATTATATACTGCATGCTTACACAATCCTAACTATATATTTGCTAATTCAGTTGACTCTGCTAAACTTATGAGACAAGCTGCTGAGATTTTGAATTCACCTGCTGCCATGGTATTAATTATAAATTTTATCCATTTATCAATCTATTATTTTCTTTTTTTGCACTTACGTTTTTTCTTAAATTCTCTTTATAGCAAATTCGGTATCTTGAAACAATGTCGTCAATGTCAAAATCCGCAGGAACAAAAGTTATTTTCATGCCTTCTAGTTCTACATTTGATGGTAACACGCCTGGTAGTATTGCAGCTTCCGGTTCATCTGGAAAACTTGATCCAATTACTGCGTCGGTTTATGAAAATATTTCTTAGTTCATGTTATTATCTTATAAATGCAGTTGCGGGTTTTTTTAATATATAATATATATCATATAAATGTTGTGTCTCAGATGTCAATTTGTAACAGATGTTAATCTTATTTAAGCTATATTATACGTATTAAATTAACATTTGGGCTGTTCCAATTGTCAATCGAGACAAATTTATATTTGGAGCACAACATATATAAACAGTAACTATTCATTAATTAAAAATTTTAATTAAAACGTCATATGTATAAATGAGCCTTTATTTAGGGTTAATAAAGTTTAAATTAAGGTGTTTATAGTCCAAATTTTTGATTTCTTTAAAATTATTAGAATTTGTTTTAATGTAATACTGACGATTATTCGTTATTTGTGATACACATAATCAAATTAGAATGTCACACAGTTTGGGAACCCAAATAGTATTTATATTTCGCAAAATGCCTCTAATTTGCCGTAACGTCAAAAACTTTGACATGTAGCCTATATTATGGCTATACAAATCGGTTCAAAATTTGAATTTAAATGATGGTCACACAAAGTAAAAAAAGGCTTTAGTTGGAGTGTCTCTTTCCTTATTTGAATTGAGCACCATTCTCACGGTCAGGGCCGATGATTTTCTGCATTGCACGGAATGCTGTAGAAATCATGGAATTGAGTTTTTTTTTTGTATGAGACTTTTTTTTTTAGGAAAATGCGCAGAATTTACAATTAGTACGAACGGAATCGACTAATTATTACTGCAGAAATCATTGGCCCTAATCACAGTATTCAGTTGGTAACCTGTTTGGCATATCGGCCAATTGATTTTTTGGTCCCTTTTCAATAAATTTGTTACACGAAAGTTTTACGTTGAATAAGTAACAAGCAAAACGCGTCATAATCAATAAAAGAGTTTTTCTAATACATGTAAGAGTTAAAAGCAAATGGTATTGAAGGATGGGTTTGTCATTGAACAATGTATTTAATAATATCAAGGATGAATTTGGAAGCAATTTTTTAAGAAAACATCCTTTAAACCTTACATTAATCTATAATTAAATACGTAACATCATGTTTTACGTATTTAATTATAGGCCTAGAATAAGTTAAAAAAGTCGTTCTTCTGAAAATTCGATTTGTTAAACAAATTTTTGTCTGGTAATCTTGAATTGTGACTGGTTAATTGTGAGTTTAATCAAATAAGCTGATATGGTGTACTAATTTATTAAATTTCCTTATTTCATGGTAAGATTTTGATTCAAAGTTACAATTGATTAATATAGCAATCATGAGTTAATTAAGAGAAGACTATATTATATATAATAAATCAATTTTTTTTTACTTTAATAGCATTCTTATTAAACAGGTAAAAAAAAATATTAACATTAAGCCTTGACTTTTAATGAGTTTTTCTAAAAGATGATTTGAAGAAATAACTTTATTGTAAATAAGAAAAGTTTTTGTTTTTATAGTTATTTCCATTTATTGTACATGTATTGAATATAATAACTATTTAGATCTAACATATCACTCCTATTTATACTTATTATATAAAAGGTGTTAACATAGAAGAATATTCAAGGTTTCAAAATATAACTTTTGTTTTGTATTTAATTAGTTAATATACTAATTTATGATATTTTTTTCATTATGATACAAGTTTTTATAATAATAATTGTCAATTTACAAATATTACAGAATTAGTTTTTTTTTAAAACCATAGTTTCAGTAGTTTGAATGAATAAAATAAGTTAAAAAATATAGAGAAATGTTAAATTAGTTGTATCAAAAGTTGAATGTTACAATAGCAAAAGCATAAAAATTGTTACTAGAAGACATTCTTTTAAAAACAATAGTGATTTGAATTATTTTTAAAAAATAATTAGTTAAACTTATTATATAGTTTTTAAACAAATTGATTACTTATTTGATTAAATTAAAAATTAATATAATTCTTTTTTATAAAATATAAAAAATATTATTTTGTCAAACACAATTTTAAATATTTTTTTATTAGTAAATATAACTGGTTGTTTTTCAAAAATTTAAAAAAAAAACAAAATAATTATAATAATAATTATAATAGAAAAATACTTCAATTAACCTATGGTGATTATCACTACCTTTATTTTTAGAGTTAGGGTGCAGTTTGAGACAGAAGCAAGAATTAGATATAATAGTCTGAATTTTAGATTACACTAGGTTTTCAGGAGTTCTAAACATTTTTACTTAGTTTATCTGACCCTTGTTTCTTAGTGTGTTTTTTGAATATAGCCCCTAGGTGATGATTACTATAGGTTATAGTTAGTAATATCCATTATAATAATAATTATAATAATAGAGTGTAATAATCTAATAAAGTAGATAGATTGTTAACCTTCAAGAATATTAGATAAAGTTTTTGCAAAAGTTAATAGAAGAAATAGCTTAAAAACTTCAGTTTTAAAATAAAAGAAAATATATAATAGTAAAAAAAAAAATAAAGCAAAAAATATAAACAAAATTAACTAATACAAAAAGCAATAAAAAAAGAAGAAACTAAAAAAAATATAAAATATGTAAAACAAATAAGAAAAAGCAATTACAGATAAAAAAACTAAGTATAGTACAAGAACAAAATATAAAAGAAGCAGCAAAAAATAAAAAAACTTTATAACAAAACTTAAATTTAAAAAAAAAGATATAAAAAAGAAAAAATAACTACTACAAGAAAATATAACAGAAATACTATTAGAGCAAAGCATTTAGACATTAGATAATAGATTATACAACAATAAAATACTAGTAACTGAAAGAATTTCTGCTTATAATATTCTAGATAGAACAAAGAAAAAAAAAACTAACATAATAAAATAGATGCTTAATGCAAATAAATATATTACAAAAATAGAAAAAATCTTTGTAAAAGGTAACAGTTAATTGAAGTATTATTTGACTGTAAATAAAAAAATAAAAAAATAATTAACTGACTAAACTAAAAAGATGAAAGTTGATTCAAAATAATTTTAAATGAGACACAAGACCAAATAAAAAACAAGAAAGACATAGCAAACAAATACAAAATAAAAGTAAACAACTAAAATAAAAAAAAAGAAAACATAAAACAAAAAGAATTTAAACAAGAAGTAAAATAATTTTTTTTTTTTTTTTTTTTAAGGTGAGGTTTTGTCTTTATCTTTATTATAATTTGTATTAAGAATTCACAAAGAGTTTCTTTGACCAAAGGTCAAGTTTACAAATTGTTTACAAGAATGAGACTCAGATTATAGATATACTAAGACTACCTAGTTTAATTTAATTTATCTACAACTTAAACCTACTAGAGTGGTTAAATCTTACCTAGGTTTTGTTAGTTAAAATATTGCTAATTTGATAATTAATTATATTGTTAGTTGAGATGCTATATTTGATCCATTTAGATATCCAAATAGATGTTTTCTTTTCTGCCATTCCTGTTAGTAGGCAAATATTGTGTTCATTTCCTATATGTTGTTGGTCTGCTGAACCACAAATGCAGTTGTAAGTATATAGTGATCTTGGATAGTGTGTGTTTCTTATATTGTTTGAATTATTATATGTATTTGATTGTATGTGTAAAGGTCGAGTCAGTATATTGTGTTGATGTTTCCAATTGGCTAGTTTTGTGCAATATGGTTTCTATATTTGGTTGTATATCTCATCTGATAGTTTCATTAAAAATTTGGTAGTAATATTAGTTGCAATTTGGTTAGAGTCTGTATATTCTCGGATTGTTTAAATAAGTAACTGAGGAACATATCTTTGTAAAGTTGTATAAATATTTGTGCTATTTGAAGTATAGTTATTAGGAGTTAGACATTGGTGACTAAACAGTTTGCTATGTAGTTCTTGTAGTTCTGTAGTTGTGATTTCTAATCTGCTAGAATTGAAGAATTGCTATATAGTATTGTTAATAGTATGGCTTAGATTTGGTGTATAAGAAGTAAAATATTAAAATAGCTAAAAAACAGAATAACAACAAAAATAAAGACCAAGGGTTTACAAGCAGAAAAAATATATAAATCAGAAGTATTAAAATATCTAATAATCTAGAACTTACTATTAAATATTAATAAGAAAAAACTTAAGTATATATGCAGAAATATAAAGAATATATACATAATATAAATTAAAAGATTACAATATAAGGCTTTTGCAATAATAAAAAAAAATCTTTTGAAAAAAAACAGTTTATAAACACTAATACTTGGTAATAACAAATTAACAAAAATAATAAAAAGAAATAAAAACTATATATAGAGAAAAAAGCAGAGTTAGTATATTACAAAATTATTAAACATTTTTAAAGAAACTTTAAAAATATTACTACTGTAATATTTAAGAAATAAGAAAATAAAAGCAGTATACATGCTATTGAATAAAAATAAAAATCAAAAAAGTTTGCAATAATTACATTTGCAAGTCTAAGAAGCAAAAACAGCTCAAATAATACTAATATAATACATATAACAATCATTAAATAAATTAAGAAAACTCTAAAAAAAAGAAAGCTTAAGAAAAAAATGAGTTAAAAAACAGTAAACAAGAAAGATTGAAAGCAGATAATAAAAAACAAGAAATATTAAAAATCAGAAGCACAAAACAAAAAATGCCAGACAGAAAATATACAAAAATAGAAAAGATTTATAAATTCAAAACATAAAAAAATGATTAGAAGATAAAAATATTGATATAAAAAAAAAAAGAAAACCCTTTTAAAAAAAGAAGGTTAAGTCAGATATACAAGTTTAATAAGAATGTTATTTTTTATTTTTTATTTTTTTTTTCTTAAGCAGTCATACTAGTACTTTATTAAAATGTTGAAATTACAATTGTAATTACATAAATGTCTTTAACAACTAAGTCTAGCATCACTTAGCCACCTTAATGATACCTAAGTGCAACCTATTACATTACTTTAAACAGAAGTAAGCTACTTGTCTAACTACTTAAAGTCCATAATAGAAGGGCCTTCTTCCTTTTATGACAAGTCTTATGATTGTTTTC